GTCGTTTAAGTATAATATTTCACTTAAAATAATCACAAGCAATTTATTTTCTTAAAAATATCTACATGAAATTAACAAATTTGCAACTTCCTTGTGCAACTTCTGTGTGCGACTTGCGTACTTGATCATTCATGAACTTCATTTAAACGATTGCTGTGATTTTATAATACATATTCAATCCTGTAACTTTCTGGAAAGCTTTACTAATGTTTAAAACATTATTTAAAAAAATATATGTAATGCTAAAACTTATATTTTCCGAGGAATATAAGTTTATTTATCTAGTAACTAAGTTTGAGTTTTTTTTATCTGTGTGTGATTCCGCTTCTAACTTAATTTATTCTTTGTTAACATTATTTTTGTTTACAAAATATTATATAGGCTAGAATTAAATGAGAGCAAATTAGAGATTGCCAGTTTTATTATTATGAAAATAATAGATAAAACATATACGAGTTTCTGTGCATGATTTTTTGGAAATGCCCATATATATATACAGGGGTGGGACCGCAAAATGTGAACGTTTTTGTTTTATTATAACTATTTTCTCGTTAGATGTAGTTGTACTCTCTCACTCATCAGAAAGTGTCTAAAGAGTTGGTCTAAACGTTGTAAAATGATCTACGAGAATCAAGGAGGTCAAATTGAACATTTAAAATAGTTCATATTTAACAGAAAATTAATTATTACAATCAGAAAAGTGTTCACATTTTGCGGTCCCACCCCTGTAAGTGTGTATATATATATATATATATATATATATATATATATATATATATATATATATATATATATATATATATATATATATATATATATATATATATATATATATATATATATATATATATATATATATATATATATATATATATATATATATATATATATATATATCAGGGTTGCCACCAAATCAGGGAAATTTAGATACAATCAGGGAAAATCAGGGGAAAATGATTAATTAAGGAAAAAATCAGGAAAAATCAGGGAACTTTAATTTTTCTTAATGTTTTGATATTTTTTCTAATAAAAATCTTCCTTTTCAAGGGTACCAGGGTTAATGTTTAACATTTTTAAAGAAAATTAATCATATTGTATTTACATTAATTCAATGTTTGCAACGTAATTCAAAGAAAAATGGTTAAGTGATTTTTTGTTTGAAAAATGGCTGGTAATAGGCAGTGTAAAAAAGTCTGCTAAGTGCAAAATATGAGAAGTTGAATTTAATTTGTCAAATTTGAAGAAGAGCTATGATAAGTCACATGATTGGCTAAAAACATGCACAAAAGTCAAAGCCAGTATCTTGCCTGCACAGTCTACATCTAAAAAACAAGCACTTTAAACACTAGATTAATGTGGTAAAAGTTGTACAGAAATCTACTCTGTTTTAAATGCAATACGGAATAATTTCTCATTGAAATCATGTAATGAAAATTGCCTACTTTATCAGAAAATGATAGCAATATTGCTAAATCTTATGAAATGAGTGAAACAAAACTTGGTTATATAATTAATTTTGGTAATGGGTTTTATTTTTACAGACTTTTAACTGAAAATATAAAAAAATCTCCTTATTATACTCTTTCATTTGATAAAAGCCTGAATGATTCTTTTAAAAATGACCAATCGGATCTAAATATTTAGTTTTGGAGCAGCAATCTAAATCATGTTAAATCCAGATACTTAGACTCTAAATTTTTAGGTCTCCACAGCAAAGAATTTACTTAAAAGTATGACTCAACTAAGTATGGAAGGTACAAATGTGAACTGGTCCCTTTTTAATCTTCTTGAAATGCAGCATGATCAGCAAGCTACCTAAACAAATCGGGTTTTCAAATCGGGTTTTCAATCTGCTGAATAGAATATAAAGAAGTTAATGAAAGCATCATACAACCTTTTTTATGATTCTTCGGCTAGAAGAGCTGATTATGTAACTGTTACTAAATGTGAGAGTTTTCCTTATGCATTTTGTTCAACACGCTGGGTTGTAGACCAAAAAGTTGCAGAAAGACTTTGTTTAATTTGGGAGAATGTTAAAAAAAATAACCAAGTATTGGGAGACTCTTCCTAAAAGTAAGCAACCAAAATGAAAGAGCTAGAACAAGTGTTCAGGGCAGAGTTACTAACAAGGCCAAAAGTATCAAGACCAAAGCCAAGGCTAAGGCCACGCATTACAAGTCCAAGGCCAAATGTTACAAGGCCAAGGCCAAGAGTTTAAGGTCAAGGCCAGGATTAAGAGTTTCAAGTCCAATGCCTACGCAAACAGTTTCAAGATCAAATACTTCAACTTTCGCCTTGCCTTAAGGCCAATTATTAACACAACTGTAAGTAGCAAGTGGTGTGACAATAAAACCATATTTTGTAAAAATAGATATTTTCATAAAAAAAGGCCAAAATTTTCAAGGCCAAGGATTAACAACTCTGAGTTTTTTGGTTACGTTGCATTTTTGGTTACGTTGCAGAAAATCTTACTGAGATATCAAACCAATGTCCCAATGATTCCCTTTCTTTTTGAAGATTTGTTCTCAACTGTTAAAAGTTTAATGGGTTTAATTATAAAACAAGATGTCTTTAGCAGCATCGTTAATGGCAGGCAACGTCAAAAATATGATTTTACAAAAAAAGGAAAACTTTCTGCTATTAAAATTAATGACAATTGGATTTGCTGCAGAACATGGCATTATCGAATTGAGGAAAAAGGATACATTATTTTAGGATGTCATCAACAGATTCATAAAAGATTGCCATCTCATTATCATTGGAATTCTGGAAAAAATATTTGAAAGAAGTTTGAATCAATTTTCTTTTCTGAAAGCAAACAATCTTTCTAAACAAAAAGCTGATCTTCATCAGATAAAATCTGTACTACATCTAGTTCTTTCTTGCTCACATATTACTTCAAATAAATGTGATCAAGCTTTCATACAATTTTTAAAGTTGTTAGAGGACAGTTTATTACCAGTAATATGCTCAGTGAAAAAATGAAAGGAATGTCACTTATATTGTGTCCGAATATATGCTAAACGAAGTATAACCCAATATTTTTTTACTTCTAAAAAACATTTATTTTCAAAACGCGGTATAAAATTTTATTTGTTTTTAAAATGCGGTATTTAATTTTGACCAATCCGTGGCAAATGTATATTACTTCTGCGCAAGCGCAAGTATTTTAAAGTTGCGTTAAAGAAATGGCGGATTGCGATGGACAAGATTAATGCGTTACCTAATATCCTATTTCACATAGAAAAAAAGACTTGATGTATGAAACAAAAGAAAAGAAAAGCATTTCTTAATTCTAGTGTTCGTTTAAACTACCATGCTTTGTTTGTTTAACTGAACGAATTATGGAATAATGATAGAAAATATATTAAAAAGGCAACTTAAATTAATAAGTTTAAATATATTTGTTACCTGTTTTTTAATGGAAAGCATTCAATAATAATACTTCCTTTTTATTTTTTGTTAAACCGACAATTGCTTTGTTGCAAATAAAATGAGGCTATTGCAGTATTTCATTTTTAAAATTTTATTTCGTTCAAAAATATAACGATGACTTTTATGTTATATTAATTGTCCATTAGTTCTATGGAGACTTAAAAATAGTGGTCATCATTGTTACAACTACACAACACTAAAAAAATATTATTGTTTATTGTCCATATTTAACTCTCCGAAACAAATATAAATTTACAATTGCGAATTGTGAAATGAAATAGTTTACATTACTTTAATAAAACATTGTTTACATTCATATTATCAATAAAATATAATGACTAAACATTAAATACACATATTTGTTCCATATGTTAACTAAAATTAATAATTAAAACTTATTCAGGTCTTTTAAAGTTTAAAAACTTTCCATAACATCTTTATAAAATGGATATACCGCATTTTGCTAACAAGCTTTAATTGGATATACAGTATTTTGAGAATAAATTCAAACTTATTGACAAAAAAAATAAATTTTTTTATTTAATAATATTTTATTTATTAACATTATATAATATACTTTATGTATATATACATTAAGAAACAATAATTTTTCCACGAGACATGTTGGTGTGGCGAAAAAAGTCAATTATCTCAATACCACAAAAATGGATATACCGCATTTTGAAAATACACTCTTCATATATATATATATATATATATATATATATATATATATATATATATATATATATATATATATATATATATATATATATATATATATATATATATATACATATACGTAAAGTCTTAAAGTTATAGAAAAAACATGTTTTTTTTTTTGAACTGAAAAATGTTTTTTTATTATAAAAAAATTTCATTAGAAAAAGATTGTTGCTCATGGATGATTTATTTGACATACATTTGGCTAAAGAGAATTTATTGTAATTTATTTGATGGATTTCTTTTATAATTTCCTTAATTAGCATTGGTAATTGTTTTAAATAATTTTTTAAACCCTAAAATTTGGATTTCTTTTATAATTTTCTTAATTAGCATTGGTAATTATTTAAAATAATTTTTTAAACCCCAAAATTGCTTGTAATCATCAACATAAAACAGTTTTTAGAGTTACACAAAAAAATAATTTATACATTTATAATATAAAAATTTATGTTATAAATGTATAAATTTATATTTATAACTAAATTTATACTATAGTTTATTTATAGTTGCATAAAAGTTTTTAAAATTAATTAAAAAGACTGCAATAATAAGAGTATTTCATTAAAAAATATAGCTTACAGATTTACTACATAATTAAAAAACAACGCTAGTAAATACTTTATATAACTGCATATCTTGAATGAATGAAATTGTAAATCTTTAAAAGTAGGTGCAGTTCTAAAAGAGACATAAGCGAATCTGAGTAGGAGAGGCTAATAAACTTCATTCTTATTTAATTTACTTATATTCATTATTTCTTTATGCCTTATTTTATTTAAGAAAAAATATAATGAATAATGTAATAAAATTTTAAAATTTGAGATTTTTATTTTTATTAGTCACTATATAGCTGTCATCCAGATGGTATAACTAATCGGTCTGTTATTGTCTTACCAAAGATGATTTCTACTGAAGCTCATTCTTTATTAGCTGGAGTAAGTTTTTTTAAATTTTAAGTATTATTTTATATGTTTACCATCATCATGATCATCATCATCATTGTCATCACCATAACTCCAAGTTTTCAATAACTTGTCACAAGTTGTCAATAACTTCCACCTCTTTCAATCTTTTTTTCCCAAAATTACTAAAACCCAACATTTTGTACTTTATGCTCTTCATGCTCAAACCACCTTAATCTTCTCTGATGCATTTTATCAGATACACTCACCATCCTAATCTCTGTTTAAGATCTTTTTTTTCTTATCTTTTCATACTACTCATGTACCATCATTTTCTCTTTTTTTTACTAAAGTATAGTAATTATATAGCGTTTTAAGAGTTATAAGATAAAAGCAATTGTTAAAGTAATAATAATTTTTGTTTTCTTACTTTTACTTTTTTTTTAAAAAAGCTTTTGAAGTTTTCTCCAGAAGAAAGGCTTGGTAAATTTTTTTAATTTATTTTTTATTTCTAAAATAGTTTTATAACAGTTATATAAAAATAATAGAATTAGAAAGTATAAAATGTTATTTGAGAAACTTAGAAATATATATAAATATATATATGTATATATATATATATATATATATATATATATATATATATATATATATATATATATATATATATATATATATATATATATATATATATATATATATATATAAACAAAATAATATAATAAATATAATAATATTTATATTTGTGAGTGTATTTAATGTTAGAATTAAAAACACCAATAAAAAAATTCAAAGCAAAAACCTTTTTTATTATTTGTAATAACAAAAATTTATGCATTTTTTATCTTTTGAGATAGCAAACATCTTTTTGTTTATCTTTTGAGATATCAAACATCTTTTTGTTTGGTTTGTATGCAATCTTATAAGTATATTCCAATTTTTGATATTATGCAGAAGATTAGGTGGATAGGTGGATTTAGTGTGTACTATCATTTATTATTGGTTCTACAGTAAGATCTGAATGAATGAAAAAAAATTTAGAGTTAACATAAATAACGATTTTTACGTAGCAATTAATAGAGATATTGAGATTACTTTTTAAATATTCTTAAAAATAGCTGCCATCTACAGTAAGATCGCTTAGAGCGCTAGCCTCAGAATTAAGAGGTTCAAGGTTCAATTCCAGCTTTAATTCAAGATTCAATTCCTATTTAAATGCTTTTTTGAGATGCTCTGTAATAAGACTGTAAAAACTTCTTAAAGCACCTTAATAATCTCAACAACAAAAAAATCTCTTATATTGAATACTAAAAATGTGCAATGGTATTTTTCATTGATGTTACAGAATTTATTTATTCTGAGTATTTTGACATTGGTTTTAGTTTGTTTCTTAATTAACCATTTTGCCTCGCGTTTTGCAGGATTTAAAAGGGAAACAGTAAGTTTGTTTTAGAAAAATTTGATTTTTGAAAATTATAAAACAATCAAAAGATTTGTTTATTTTCATTCAAATATTATAATATTGCAAACATAATAATCAAAGTGTTTACTTTCTACTTGGTCTTTCGGTTTTAGATCATTAATTTTATGAATTAAATAAATTACATTTATTAGTAGGTGATGGTGTTTATCCTAGCATCCATTTTTTTTCAATGTTTTTTTTTTTCAAACAAATCTTCTCAACAAATGTCAATCGTTTTAACAAATTCTTCCAGCACCATTGTATTACCTTTTTTTTTTATTTATGGCTCAAAATGATGTAACACGTTTTGAAATACTTTAGGCACTATATGTTACACAGCATCATTTCCCTTACTGATCATGTTCAAAAATAGAACAACTGTTTTGGTCTTTGCTTCCTAAAAGTTTTATAGCTGAAAAAAAATGGCTGTTGGGAAAACCAAGGTATCTTATAACATCGCACATGTTCTTGCCCGATATTTCCATGATCTAGTTTTAAAGGTTTAGTTGTATGTTTTGATGAGACTAAACAAAGTTGTTCAAAAAGGTCAAATGAATTTTTGCATTCGTTATTGGAATCCCAGCAAGCACAATCAACGTTGAATCAACGTTGAAAAACCGTTGAAATTTATGGTTAAAAAATGGTTGATTTTTGGTTGAAATGGAAACAAATCAACGTTAAAAAATTAACGTTAGATTAACATTGATTCAACCAACTTATATATGAGTTTGTGCCTCAAAAATACAACTTTTTGCTCCGTGACTCTTTTAATCCGAAAAAAACATATATTTTTTGTACAATATTGTGTTGTTATGAGTAAGAAAAGAAACAATAATTCTTCATAAACTTATAATAGCTGTCATAGTTCAATATCTTATGCTATTATACTGCACATCATGTTCTCAATTTTTACAGCTTTTATTTATTATTAGTAGAAGTATTAATAATTTATTTTATATTATAATACTAACTGCTGTTATAGTATTACAAATAATCTGCCCTGTACCATTTTTTTAACGCAGGTAACTAAATTATAGAGATTGAAAAGCCATTATTGAAAGTAAATAAAACCAAAAAAATAATTTATACATTTTTAGAACAAAAACTTATACAAAATTATAATTATTTTCAAAACGATTTTGATAAAATCATGATATCTTTATCTTCAACACCAATGTCAAATTCATATGTATTTTTAACGTCTGCTGTCATCAGACTCATTTTGATTTGATGCACATTTCTCACGATCCTATCAATATGGTACAAAGCTCAAATAGTTTAAATTCTATGTTTTTTTATTGTGTCTTTTTATTTAAGAACATCAGGTAACTGCATCTAAATATAAATAACTTTAAATTAAATGGTTATTTGGTAAATTAAAGGTACATTTGTACCTTTTTAAAAGTATTATTATACTTTACATTGTTCACAAGCGAATGTGAACATTAAGTGATCAATAGTGGGAAAAATCAACGACCCATAACTGATCCATGCCTAATTTACTTAATTATTGACCGAGATATCAACCTATTTGAATAAATATACATTATACATTAACGTCATACATTAACGTATATACACACATAACAAAAACCTTTTAGGTAGTTATACATTGCTAAAGTCAAACATTCGTTTAGTAGAACCATTTTCCTTGGTCTCCTGGAGGGTTAAGATATCTGTAATTAACTGTATTTATATATACATAGATGTATATAATTATACACATATATGTATAAATACATACATAAACGTGTGTGTATATATATATATATATATATATATATATATATATATATATATATATATATATATATATATATATATATATATATATATATATATATATATATATATATATATATATATATATATATATATCGGTGGGAGCAGCGCAAAGAAATATAATATACATACCAATAACACCTTGTAAATATTTAAAATCCATTTTCTTTTGTTTGCTTTGTTTTAGATTAGGTCAAGTAAATCTTTGTTCTTTAATTTCCCATTAACCTGCCAAATCAAAATAAATTTAATAAAAAAAAAAAACAGTAAAAATACAATGAAATTACTTTAAATCAATTAAATTAATGGAATACTCAAATCACAAATTTAAAAAAATAATGAAATCATGGCAAAAAATGTGATAAACAAAATCTTATTTAAAATCGTAAAACCAGACATGAATACAACTGAGAGGTTAGAGTTATTAGACAAACTAATCTAGACTAGTCTATACAAATGTGATTAGATACTCAACGGATATATTGAAATATTAAAAAAAAGAAGAAAGAAAGTAGGGAAAAAGCTGTTTTTAAATAGCTTTTTCCCTGACTTTCTTTTTTCTTTTTAATAAATCTGTTAAGAAATGTTAGCTCTAATTTGAGCATGCTGTTAGGAACTTTTAATAACTTTTTCTTTTTCTACAAGTGCTAACTTTTTTATAGATACTATAAATATGAAAATAATAAATAATTAATAGAATTAAAGTAAATAAATAATTATAATAATAATATTAATAAATAAAATAATAAGAAGAAATAAGAAATTTATTTAAATTTACTTATCATCTATGCAACTTGATGATTTAGATTATATTATGTGTAAATAAAAGCTATTAGCTGAAAGTTGTCATGAATGGTACAATATTGACAAATCCAAGACAAATATCTATGATGGCAGAGTAATAAAAGTTAATTAAAAAAGTCATGATTTACATTCATTGTTACTTTTATAATGTTTATATAATGATATGCATTATATAACCAGAATGTTTATGTATTAAATAACCAGAATGTTTACAAAATTTAAACTCCATCTGGCTCCTCTCTCTAAATGAGCATTATATGCACATGACAAAACAAAGTAGATATATTTAAAAATGACTTTATGGTATACTTTAGCTCCTATATTATTAAAGCCTACATTAACTAGTCTATTTTTTGTTTTTTTAACTAAAGCTTTTAATTTAAGTTCTGTTCTACTGTGCAAGCCATTTTTATTTTATTTTAATAATGCAAAAAAAATATTAAAAAAAAACAACGGTAAAATAAAAATACCCATCCTCTTTGGAGTTATGTTAACGCCTGCAATCCAGTTAATAAGTTTTTACTTTACCTGATGTTATTATACCAATTCCTAACAAAAAGAATACAATAGATACTTTACATAAGGTTTGATAAAGATTAAATGGTCTTTAATACTGCTCTTATAAATATATGTAATAATCATTTATATATAATAGGTATACAATACCTGTAGTTTCATCACATTTTAGTTTAAACTTAATACTAACCAACTGTTGTGCTTTATTGCAATTTTTTACTGCAAATTTCACATTTCAATTCGGACAACGGACAAAACCATTCTTTATTCAACTTGATGGAATTTCACTTTTACAAACAACATTGTCTTTTGACTATACAAACCAAAACATTCTTGTCTACACTACAGTTTCATAATTATAATAAGACTTTGATTGTGTGTGTGTGTATATATATATATATATATATATATATATATATATATATATATATATATATATATATATATATATATATATATATATATATATATATATATATATATATATATATATATATATATATATATATATATATATATATATATATATATATATATATATATATACACCTTATATATATACACCTTATATATATACATCTTTTGACACATATATACTTTAATTTAAAGATGAATATTTAAATCATTTAAAGATGTTTATATATATATATATATATATATATATATATATATATATATATATATATATATATATATATATATATATATATATATATATAAATAAACATCTTTAAATGATTTAAATATTCATCTTTAAATTAAAGATGAATATTTAAATCATTAAAAGATATTTATATATATATATATATATATATATATATATATATATATATATATATATATATATATATATATATATATATACAAGCCCGCCCAGAGCTTTTGTGATGCCCGGGTCCAAAAGTTTAATGGATGCCCTATCATATTTCAGTTCTTTAAATGAAAAATAGCAAAAAAAATAGTATAGCTATTTTTGGTTTACTTTCATAGAAAACCTAAAATCACATTTAATTCATTTTTGTTTATAAAAACAAAATGGTGAAATTTTACGGTAAAGTCTTATTATTATTAATTGTGTGTGGTTCATTGAAGATATTATTTAAAAGGTTTTATGATCCTTCTTCGTTGTAACTAGCAGTTTCTTCAGGAATGACCTTCTTTTTGCGTTTTCTTTACAGCAAACATAATTGCATTTAATTTTGATTTCTTTGCAACTTTTTTTGCCTCTATCAAAATCAGGTCTCAAGACAAACATATTCAATCCAGATCCGTCAAAAGGCCATTTAGAACCTTACTTTATCATCGAATGAGTTAAGTGGATCGAAGCAGAAAACTCACGTTGTTAACTGCCATCAAACATTTAAACCAAAAAGTAGTGAAAACAAAAAAATCAAAAGAATTTATTCATTTTATTAGATAATGCACTTTATTACTACTTTCGCATGGAAGGTCTAACTCTTTTAGAAGATGTAATGATTTCGATATCTCTCTTGGCTTTTTTCGCTAGTGGCTTGACTGCTTTAATCTTTGAGCTCCATTGTGTAACAGAAAGTTTATGTAATTATTGGCTTGTCTCCTCCTGAAAAATTCTCCAACGAACTAGGCTGCAGCTGAACAGATTGTATGGTTTTTGAATATTTCCAAAATAGGATTTTGCAGGAGCCGATGATTTAATAGCGTGCACTGCACATAGGTTCAAACTGTGAGCAGAGGAGGGAATGAAAATTGCTTGTGAATTATTCTGCCTATATAATACCTGACATATTAGCACCATTGTTGTAGCATTGAACACGACAATTTTTTATGTTGAACTCATTCTCTTCCAACACATTCAATATCAGCTTTGTTATATCAGATCCTTTCTTTGTTCAAGTTATATTAGCTAAAGAAACCTTTTTTTAAGCTCCCACAACTAATTATCACTGAGATGCAAAAAACAAAAAATGAAAATAATTTGACCGCTGTGGGACAAATTGGGAGTGCTGTCCGTGATAATAATAAAATACACTGATTTTGGATTTTTCGAATAACCTCTCGAACCACTAATTTGCCGCATTCCTTGATAAATTCATTCTGTGATTTCCAGGATAAGTAATGAGCTTGCATGCATTTTTCTTCTTCTTGGTACTTAACAATAAAATGCATATGATCTTGTAACGTTTTATTGTGGTGAGCAATTAATTCGAATGCTTCAAGAAGTTTCCATTCCCATTTTTGAAGAACTTTTGATTGGATTCTAATTACAAACAAAAAATAATCAAAATAGTAATCCATATTTATATCCAATCATAACTTATAATTTTGATTTTTAAGTTACAAATAAAATAATAGAGAATATAATTTAAAATTAATATCCTTACCTCTAAAATCTAAATTTATTAAAGCTAGAAATAGCGACGTCAAGTATGCATTATAAAATTACCCTCCATCGCTTTGTTTCATCTCAAATTTTGATTCATCTCCAACAGTATGCAAAATTTAATAGTATGTAAAAAGAACTTTTACATACTGTTAAATAAAATAAAAAATTTATTCCACGCTCTTTACTTAATTAGGCAAACAAAAGGCCGATGAAAACGCGTGCGTTCAAATGGAAATAAAAACCCTATTTTAACCCTTTCGTGACAAGTGACCCTTTTGACAGTTCATAAAGTTTGTTGCTAAATGACAAGTGACCCGTATGGCGATTAATAAACAATTTTATTTATTTAAAAAGATCTACAGCAATTGGGGGAAACTTTAAATTTATCTTTGAAATGTGAATAATTTTATAAGCTAATGCTTCAAACCGTTTGTTTATTGCATTTATAGATCGCTCATAAATCAATTTTACAAAAAAAATTAAATTTTATTGATATAAATGAGATCCCTGATATTTTTTTTCAATGATATGATTTCATTGGTGGTGATTTTTTTTGTATGATTACCACTATAAATGCCTCATTTATATAATATCGAAAACGATATGTTTATGTATTTCTTCTTTATTTGTTTAAGGTTACATAAAGAAACTATATATTTTTGTTAATTTCAACATGATATATTTTGATTACGTTAAGATAACAAAAAATTAAGATAACAAAAAGTTATTTAAAGTTATTTAATATTCTGAAAATCAATTTTAGAAATTCTTTAACAACAAAACAAAGTTTTTGTAAAATTTTGACTAGCACTTTTTATTTTATACACTTTTAATCGATCATGATCCTAGTTCGTTATTCTGCTAATCAATTGAGATCCTTGTTCGTTATTCTTTTAATCGATCATGATCCTAGTTCATTATTCTTTTAATTGATCATGATCCTAGTTTGTTATTCTGTTAATCGATCATGATCCTTGTTCGTTATTCTTTTAATCGATCATGATCCTTGTTCGTTATTCTTTTAATCGATCATGATCCTAGTTCGTTATTCTGTTAATCGATCATGATCCTAGTTCGTTATTCTTTTAATCGATCATGATCCTAGTTCGTTATTCTTTTAATCGATTATGATCCTAGTTCGTTATTCTGTTAATCGATCATGATCCTTGTTCGTTATTCTTTTAATCGATCATGATCCTAGTTCGTTATTCTTTTAATCGATCATGATCCTAGTTCGTTATTCTGTTAATCGATCATGATCCTAGTTCGTTATTCTTAATCGATCATGATCCTAGTTCGTTATTCTTTTAATCGATTATGATCCTAGTTCGTTATTCTGTTAATCGATCATGATCCTTGTTCTTTATTCTTTTAATCGATCATGATCCTAGTTCGTTATTCTTTTAATCGATCATGATCCTAGTTCGTTATTCTTTTAATCGATTATGATCCTAGTTCGTTATTCTGTTAATCGATCATGATCCTTGTTCGTTATTCTTTTAATCGATCATGATCCTAGTTCGTTATTCTTTTAATCGATCATGATCCTAGTTCGTTATTCTTTTAATCGATTATGATCCTAGTTCGTTATTCTGTTAATCGATCATGATCCTAGTTCGTTATTCTTTTAATCGATCATGATCCTAGTTTGTTATTCTGTTAATCGATCATGATCCTAGTTCGTTATTCTTTTAATCGATCATGATCCTAGTTTGTTACTTTGCGCGCAGTCATACAGCTGTTTTTAACTCAGTCGCGAAAGGGTTAAATGTTAACAATTTTAAAAGAAGAACAAAATTAATAAAAAAATTGCTTAAGCTTTAAATATGTTATCAGCTAAATTTTTTATCCTTACAAAAAAATTTTTTAAGGCATATGTGATGCCTCATATACTGTGATGCCCGGGGCAAACTACTTCAATTGCCCCTCCCTCTTGGCGGCCCTGTGTATATATATATATATATATATATATATATATATATATATATATATATATATATATATATATATATATATATATATATATATGCAAAATATACAAAGTGTTATTATAATTATAAAGACTTTAATTTATCTTCATATAAAAATTTAATCCAAATTCATATAAAAATTTATATGAATTTGCAGTATACACAAGTTTTGCATTTTCATATAAAATATGCAAAATTTGCGTATATTGCAAATTCATATAAATTTTTGTAAAATTATACATATTTTCATAGCAAAAAAATCTTTTAATGTTTTCACTTTTATTACATTTATACTTTTATTAAAAGTTATTAAAGAACTTTCCCACGAACAAATCTATGTGAAATGTTATACTTATTTTAATTCCGAATTATTAGTACATTTGCGTCGGCGAACTCTCGTATCTAAATTTCAACATAATTTCAACGTTATTTCAAAGTTTATTTTTCAACGTTAATTCAACGTTTGTTTTTAGTTGAAAATCAATGTTGAAATTTCAACGTTTTTTTTTTTTTTTTTAACGTTGAAATAACGTTGAAATTTAGATCGTTATTTTTCAACCATATATCAACCATTTCTCAACGTTGAAAAAACGTTGAAATAACGTTATGTGCTTTTTTTTTTTTTTTTTTTTTAAAAAAAAAAAATCAAGGAGAGAACAAAATATAGTCAAACTGCATACGCACTCGCTGTCTTTATCACCTTCTCCCCTTGTATGCATCTTGTTGTTTTGGGGTACCCTCTCCACCATACTTGCTTACGTTCTTTATGGAAGGCTCCATTTTTATTACTAAGACTACCATTTTTGTTAAACATTTTTTAAACATGATATGTATTATCAAGTTTAAACCAAGAGGTGGTAATGGTACTGATTTCAAGATAATGATGATTTTGACAACATTCTAGTGTTACTTAGTTTATTATCTTTTTTTAATTAGGTGGCGGGCGTACAGGATGTGAAGAAATCAAATCACATGTTTATTTTTCTGGAATTGATTGGGAAGCAAAAAAAATAATTTGATATTTTTAACCTTGTGGTTTTTATGTATATATATATATATATATATAATTTTTTTTTTTTTTTTAGTTTTTTTTTAAACTTTTTAATTTGTACAGTTTTCATTTTAAAAATATTTTTGTTATAGATGGTAAAAGACTTTATTGCAGATTTATTTATAAAGATAATTATCTTTTATCTCGTTTTTAAAGGAGCTAATTTAATAAATATAAATGCCCCATCAAAGCGACAATTTTAAACATTTTGGTTTATATGACAATTAAGGCGATATGCCTCAATTGTCTTAGGGCCTGATTATATGAGGAAATTTGTCCCGCTTTGCCGAGATAAAAACTTCCCGCCTGTAAAAAAATTTAATCGATTACATGTAAAAAAATTCCTGTATTGTTTCGCTAAAAGTAAAAATAAAATATGGCCGAAAAATCGCTAAAGATCTTAAATGCAATGCTTGTTTCACTTAATTTACAGCAGATAGATCTTGCTCTTGCATATTTGATAAAACAAAGAAGATTATTTAACATTTTTGTAACATTTTCTTTACGAAAAAGAAGTTATTTCTTACAAAGAATTATTAATGCTGTGGAAAAACGTTCAAGGCGAATGCCCCGTAGCATATGGATTAAACCAGGAAGTTCTGAAACTTTTTGGTTTAATCTGTTGAACAATGTTACTACTGAAAATAGATGGAAACTAAATTTTCGGATGTCTTAAGAACATGTGATGGAACTAGCTAATTACTTGCGACCCTTTTTCTTCCTAAAAACAAAACAGAAATGGAAAACAAAATTTTAGAAATGGAAACAAAATTTAATATGCCTCAAGCTTTTGGTTTTGTTGATGGAACTCATATTCCAATACGAAGACCTTTAGAATCTTCACAAAACTACTTTAATTACAAAGGATTTCACTCTATGTCTGTTCAAGCAATTTGTGACTCAAAAGGCATTTTTATGAATGTCGACTGCAAATGGCCTGGATCACTTCATGATGCTAAAGTGTTTTCTAATTTAACATTTAACTTAAGAATGATTTCGAACAGTATACCTATAACTTATCGAGAATTGCGGTGATCCAGCATATCCTCTTTCAACTTTCTGCTTAAAAGAGTATTTACACTGCCAAAATAACAATCAAGTAGTTTTCAATACCTCGCTTAGAACTGCAAGAAATCAAATAGAATGTGCTTTTGGTTGCCTTAAAGCACGATGGGAAATACTTAAGAAAAAGATTGACCTCAAACTAGAGAATATACCCACTGTTATATATGCCTGTTTTGTTCTGCATAACTTTTGTAAGATAAAATGTATAACAATAGACGAAGAAGTTTTCATAAATAATATTAAAGAAAATATTAACTCTGACAAAGTTGATTCTATTTATTCTTGCAACACAGATGAAGGATCATTAATAAGAGAAGTAAATACACAGTATATTTCTGAATGCAATAATAACTCAATATAAAAAAAAATACAATAGTAACTACAATAAAATATCAAAGCAAAACACAACTGTTTTTTGAAAAAATAGTATATTCTTTGTTTCTAGTTTGGTAAACTCAATATTTTGTATAACGTTTAAGATAAAGTAAGATATTTAAAGTAAGATAAAAAAATTTTTTCCACTATTTAGTACTTATTACATTAAACAAATACTACGCTATTGTCTGTCAAAACTTTTAGATTGTTCTTCTTGATTATTTTTAATTAAGTAAGAATTGTATCGGGTACTAGGATGGTCAAAAAACTGTTCTGATGAGGGTAAGCTCCTTGTGTATGAAAGTAAGCTGGTGAGCTACTATATCCTTGTCCTAAAAACTGAATTGAGGTTTTCATGCTTTCCGTTAAAAGTTTCATCGACTCACCAATACTTCTCATTGCATCAGAAAATGTTTGATTTGATTCTTTTATGGCATTAACAACTTTACGTAATTCTATATCTTCTTTTGCTTCTTTTAATAGCAAAGCATCACGTTGGTTAGCACTTAATTTTTTTAAAATATGTTTTCTTTTTTCATCAATCAATATAGGCAAATCTGCTTCATTTCTTCTTTGTTTACAAGATAATGAAGTACTGGTAAAATCAACATTGTTTTTATCAATATCAGTTTCTTTTTCCACAGAAATATTATCTATTAACCTTTCATTCGGTGAAGATAAATTATTGTTCACTAAAGTCGTATCAATTCCTGAATTTGAAGATTTTATCGATGCTCAACCACTGTATATTTCTCGTAACAAATCAAAGTGCTCTAAAATAATTCTGCCACTGCCACTTCGACTTCCTTTTAATACAGCTGTGGTAAATTTTTGTCTTATTTCTTTTACCTTTTCAAGGATTCGATGGTAGCCAACTTTTATTAATCTGCTTCTTTTTTTTTGATATTTTCTTTTATTTCATCAATTTTATTTTCTAACATTTCATTTGTGCATACAAGACTTGGAACACATGTAGGTCCAAAGAAGTTAACAAACTTATTTTCATATTTACCAGCCATTTCTTTTCGTAAAAAAGTGTACTGCGCAGGTCTATCACTATCAAAGTCTTTTCCAATATATTCCATATTTGATTTGTATAGTTTTAGACATTTTAATAGGTCAATTACCATTTCATCATTCCATCTAAATGTTTTCTTATCTAAACACGCAGACATTTTTTAAATTATCGAGTTGCATTAACGCATGCATGTTAGGAGAAAATTATCTCGTTTAGGCGAGATAACACAATTACATGAGAAATAAATGTCCCTTTCAAACGAGTTTCCCTGTTGTTAAAGCGGGACTCTCGGCAGAAAAATTATCCCGGTATAGCGGGACGGGATAAAAAACTTCATGTAATCGTAAGTCTTTATTTGTAGTCTGTAAGTCTTTATTTGTAGTTAACCGTTATACCGAGATCTCGGCTAATCGTCCCGTCTCGGCGAAGCGGGACATATTTCTTCATATAATCAGGCCCTTAGTGAGATTAAAAAAAAAAAAGTATTAATGCAATTACATTTTGATTGACAAAAATTTAGCAAAAAAATGATTAAATTTTATGATTACGAACAACTTAATAAAAGGCCTAAAAGACATTCAAAATAAAAAATTATGTTTATAAGAATAAAAAAAAAATGTAGGCGGATGTTTATAAGAACAAAAATGTAGAGTGTCGGCTAGTTTTTTCGAGTTGAAAATTTTTATTATACTTAAAACATGATATGTATTAGTGTAATACTAAATATTGTATATGTTGTAAATTTTTGTTAATATAATATTGAAAATGGTATCGTAAATATATCTGTATATACTTTTTGTGTTAAGTTTGAGTTTTAACAAACTTTTTGTGTAAAGTTAGTGTTTTAACAAACTTTTTGCGTAAAGTTAGTGTTTTAACTAGGGTGTACGCCGAAAAACAAAACTTGCGAAAATTTCGCACATTTATCTACCGTAATAGAATTGTTGTTGCGGAAGTTGCACATGCGAAAATGAACATTCCGTAACGCACTATACGAAAATGTAAATAAATAAACTTCCTTATAAAGATTACGAAAGGGGTCGTCCATTTTTCGCAAACTCCCTCCCCTTGCCTCCCCCTCTCCGCAATATTCCATACGCTTTTTGAGTACTCTCTATCTCCCTAAAAGTACCTACGCTTTTAACCTACTAACCCAACATTTTATAATATTTTTTTTAATTTAGTGTTACCATACTTTTATAATTGACCTACTGCCCCCTTATCTCAGAAACGCCATTCACAGACCTCCTCTTTCTCTCCGAGCGTACGTACTTTATGGACGATCCCAAAGAAAACTTGCGAAACAAATCCTTTCGTAAGTATACTTACGAAATAGTTCCTTACGGAAGCAGCATTCCGGAATGTACAGTTACGAAAAAGACGCAAAAGATTTTATGTTAAGATATATTTAAGATATTTACTGTTAACAGTTTAAATTAAAAAATTATGTTTTTCGATTTGTATAACAAATCAAAAAATATAATTTTATTACTTAATTATAAAAAAATGAATCTAGTATATATATATATATATATATATATATATATATATATATATATATATATATATATATATATATATATATATATATATATATATATATATATATATATATATATATATATATATATAGACAGTAAAATCCCATTGGGAGTTGGACTCTTAATCGGAAATATAAATAGTACGACTTAGGGAATGTCCAAAGGAAATTGAAAAACTTTCCAACTTATCCAACTTATACAAATAACAGGATTCTGCTGTATATTTATTCCTCCCCATCTTTCTTACTTTTACTATAGTTCATAAAACTTCATTAAATATATTTATTATGGCACGTTTCGTAAGTTTTTTTCCGTTAAGAACTCTTTCGTATATTGTGGTGCGAAATACTTTCGTTTTGAGAGAAATTTTGTTTTTTATCATTATTTCTAAAAATATAACCATAAAAATTTAATATGTTATTATTCTGAAAAAAAAAATTCATTATAAACATTTTAGGATTTAAGGATGTAAATTTTTACAATCAAAATCAGTCTTGTGAACAAATTTTTTTTTATAGACTTTCAAACGTTTGAAAGCGAGCATTTTCGCCAAACAACGTTAACGTTGTTTGGCGAAAATGCTCGCTTCGCAAGTGCGACTTCTGAAACCGCTAATTTCGTTTGTTGTAAAATGATTTTATTTCGTATGTCGAAAAAAGCATTTGCGAAATGAACATCGACGATTTTAACGCTTTGCAATATTCAGTACGAAAAAAAAATAATTCCTCGTTCTCAATCTCTTTACGAAAAAATGTTGTTTTTCCGGAATTGTACGAAACCCTCCGGATGTTTAAAATCAATCACGATATGTGGCATCACTTAGAAGGGTAAATTTGGTTCTACACTACTTAATTGAATAGATATCTGATTATCAATATGGATTTCGATCTTCTCGTTCTTCAGCTGATTTGCTAACAGAGTAACCGACAGGTTTTATCGTGCATTAAATAGAAGTGGAGAGGTTAAGGCTATTGCTCT